AGATATTGAGATTGAAAAATTTACAAGAAAAAAATAAAATAAGAAACAGATCAAAGTACACCAATTGTATATTAAACTAGGGATTATTGTTTGAGACAGAATAACCGTGTACATCATAGACAAGTAAATGCAGCAGTAAGGTGAAACAAGGGCTTGTTCAGTAACCTACTTGGGTGCACGATTTGTTGCGACCTTAGGCTCACTACAAGAATTAACACTTTTGGCAACAAAAAATTTGGTCGCTAAAAGCCCAATTTTAGTCGGCAAAAGTTATCCGCGACCAATTTATTTGGTCGCTACTTTGGTCGCCAATTGAGGGTCGGCAAAAGTAATTTGCGACCAAAATTTTGGTTGGTCGGGAAAAGTTGAATTTGCCGACTAAATTTTTGGTCGCTAAATATATCATTACTGCGACTAATCTATTTTGTCGCAAAAACATTTTGGTCGCGAAAAGTCGCCTTTTGCCGACCAAATATCTTAGTCGCCAATTGTCACATTCCACGACCAATAATTTTGTTAGCCAATTAGCACATTCAACGACCAAATATTTTTGTCGCCAATTGTGACAATTGACGACAAAAAATTTTGGTCGCCAATTGTGACATTTCGCGACCAAAAATTTTGGTCGCCAATAGTCTCATTCTGCGACCAAAATTTGTTTGGTCGCCAATTGTCACATTTCGCGACCAAAAATTTTGGTCTCCAATTGTGACATTTTGCGACCAAAAAACTGTCGCCAATTGTGACATTCCGCGACCAAAATTTGTTTGGTCGCCAATTGTCACATTTCGCAACTAATCACTTGGTCGCCAATTGTGACATGATGCGACCAAAATTTTTTTGGTCGCCAATTGTGACATTTCGCGACTAATCAATTGGTCGCCAAAACTATAAAAACAAAACCAAATTTTGGTCGCCAACATCCAACAAAATAAACCTGTAATTTTTATTAATCCATCCAATTTATTCAATATAATCTGTAAAAAGAAGAAATCATTCAAACCAACAAATAAGTTGAATCATCAACATTCAACAAAATACATATATCAACCATTTCTGAACCTGTTTAATTAAAGTCAGCAACTATTATAAGTTTACATCCACAAATAATTCGAAACTACATATTTCATCTAGCATAAAATTTAAAACATAACAAGTACTTGTTATTATGTTTGAAATTTTTATCCATGTACATCAACCCAAAAAAATAACTACTAGTCTACCAAATATTTTCTATACACACCCATAGTAGTGTATCCAAAAATATAACTACTAGTCTACCCTAATATTTTCCATATACATCTATACAAAAATATATAATCCTTCCAAAAATGCAAAAAGTGCCAATTTGTCCTGTACAATTTAGCTTTGTGCACGAGTTCATCCATCTGTACCAAAGAAAAAGATAAATAATGTCAGTTAAATAATGTCATCCATCCATCTGTACCAAAAATGTGTTCATCAACCAAGATAAGGAATGCAACCAGCAAAGCAAACTGCAGAATTCATGCTCGCATATTGAACAAAGAAGCTTGGAGTCTAGGCTTGAGGTTCATGTATTTGACATAATACAAGTTTGGAAAAACTCTAAACCAACCGAGGCTAGAGCTTCTCAAAGCAGATGTTGCAATCACAAGGCAAATCAAAGCAGAGCTTCCCAAAGCTAGAGCTTTATTAATTTGTAATTTTTTTCCACTGACCCAACTGTCAAGTAATTGTCCCTGGTTAAATATCCTGGCACTTTTGGGCAAACAAGGGCAATTAAAGAACAGGATAAGGTTGATCGAGTATCAGTTTGTTTGGAAACATTTTATGTTCTCCGAACAGATGTCAACAAAAAAATGTCACCCTTTCAGGAATTGCTAAATATCAACTAAAGGCATCCATACTATTAATTGTTATTGATTAACGATTGAGTTCTGGTTGTAATGTATAAAACCTCTTGGAATAAATGTTTTTCCTTGAGACATCGTCCATTCATTGATTAGTTGAATTTTAAAATTAAGAGAAATGAAAAGAAAAATTGTAAATAGTGGCATGCTAAAGTGTCTAACAATATCAAAGAAACCATAAGAATGTGAATTGCTAGGTTCACCTGTCACAACACCAATTGATCCTGTTAATGTAAGATCCTCTGCAACTATAACCCCTGTAGCCATTGCCATATAGTATCCTCCACTAGCCGCCACATCAGCCATTGATGCAATGACAGGCTTTGAGGCAGCAAGGAGTCTGATTTCCCTCCACATTCTGTATAAGATAAAAATCAAGGGCAATCAGTCAATTTCTTTTTCTTTCCTTTCTATTTTACCTCTCTGCTATATGAGGAACAAAATATTAATCCAGGAATGGAGATATAAACATACATTAATTATACTAAACATAAGAAAGAACTATGTCTGAAATTCCAATTAGCTGAGTAAACTTCACCTTCTTGTTTTTTTCAAATATCTTTTACGAAAAAATCTTTTGTTTACAGATCTTATTGTTTTGATGTTTCTTTTGGCATGTTGTATCTTTCACTTTTAATGTCAATATTGTGTACGCAAGATATTTGCAAAATATTATTAAAAAATGCAGAACTGAATAATCATTCTTTCACATTCTTCAGCACAAGAATGTGATATCTAATGCACTAAGAGATACTAAGAATAACATTATTAAGTTTTTGATAAGGAAAATGGCAAATTCTAGTGACACTTTTATCAATCCGCCACCCGCCATACGGTTTCTATTTTTCTCTCAAACCGCACCGACCCGCACCGCGCACACCCCTATCTGCAACTATAACCTCTGCAACTATAATACTTGTTTCCCTTCTATTCTACTAATTTAGTCTCCTGGACATGGAAACAGTTAAATCAGTGTTCCAAGTCACAACCAAAAATTATCTTATGAATATAGGTAAGCAAAGATTAATGACCAGAGTTCGGACTACATGGTGAACAGGTTGCACATCTACACAAATCACTTGGATTTCTTCTCGCAGTTCAGAAACCTGTATGGTTTAGTAATGTTCATGTATTAACCCAAAACAGCAACCAGCAGAATATTCAACAACTAGCCAACCTTTAATTTGGTCCCACCTCCTCTCTATTAACAGCAGTAAGCTCTGCACTCTCATCTAAAGTACGATCCACACGGTCAATTTTTGAAGATAAATGCCGCTTGGTGGCTTGGAAAACAAAAAAAATCTTTATTCACATGTTTTTCAATAATATTTCCAAAATAAAGCAAGATAATTGGATTTTCATAAATGTCATCAAATTGTATCTGGAAGTCATCTAAGATGGTTTAAGCAACGTAGACCAACTAATATACTAGTAAAGAAGGATATGAATGCCTTGGACTTATCCAAGGAGAAGGCTTTACATAGACTCGTAGAGTCAATTATACAAGGTACATCCTTGTACCTTGTACTATTAATTGAGATAGACTTCCAATTATAATAATGTAAACGTATGTGCTAAAACCCTTCTTAGGAATATCGCTGGCATTAGGATGTGCTGTCATAATTTGATCTTTTATGGCATATACTTATCCAGTTCAGTAATGTCATCTCATTATAATCAAGACAATGTTCATGGAAAAAAAGTTGCATTGTTTCGAATAAAATTATCAATTGACGGTCTCTGTCAATGAAAGTAGTATTATTGTCAAAACAAGCATTGTCTCATATTGTTGTGTCCTTTTGTGTTTTGAGACTATTTTAGGTTTGAAGGTTAACTAGGCCTTGGTGGGTGAGATAGGTGAGGTACTGCATACGGATGCTCTTTCTTTGGTCTGTCAAGTAGGATCACATCTCCCCTCTACACAAAAGCTGCATGTGACATGGTATGAGTAGGGTGTACTGCCAAGGAGGTTTCAAAAGAGATTGGCAGGGTAAAAAAGGAAGCATTTACAAACAATCTTACATTGATTAAGAGCAAACTAACTTATTTCATGTCTTTGTTTAGCATATCTCAATCTAGTAATGCATCTGTAATTATAACATCAATAAAACCTCTACCTTAAGTAGAATGTCAAAGGTGCTTTCCATGTTTGAAGGAAAAACTATCCTTTTGTAAAGGACTTAAAGATCTTAGAATGAACTGAGCTCAAACTTCACATCACAATGCGGTGCACCAATATCAACACAAACAACATGAATATCAAACATATGTAGTAAAAGAAGTAAGAAGAAAAACTTGCCGTAATTGATGAGTAAACATTCTCGAGTTGTTTGACTATAGTGTTGCATGCATCAGATAAACTACACTTGGTTGCAAACATCATATCTGGAAGCCTCCAACCCTGAGAACCAACAACAAATACATGAATTACCCCTATCATACTACACATTTAAAGTCGTAAAAAAATTGAAAAATGAAAATCTACAAATTACTAAAGCATAGTCTACGAAGTAAAAATGGATGTTATATCTGTTTACTAAAAAACATATAGTTTTTTTTCCCATTTCTAGCAATACCAAACTTATTCAAGCTCTTATATTTGAAATCTACCAAGTTCAGGATACTGAAGAAGGCCAGGAATGAGAGGATAGTGAGGTGAGTTTGGAGATCAATGAAGGCTCAAGGCAGCACTCTTGAGGTTGAGGGTGTGCAGACAGTCGTCACTACATGAGTTTTGGTGTCTCACAAATCAGCTTTTGATGGGTTTCATATAGCAGTTTGGCGATTCTTATTGAGCTATGCAGCTAGCTGCACTATAGGCTAAGAACCAATCTTATCTTCCAGACTAAAATAAGTGCAGTTTTTAGAGCCTGCAAGTGTAGCAGGCTTGATTAATGAGCCTGGTACATCATATGTTGGCCCACTTCACCTGCAGTGTAACATGTCCTTACGACTTCTTCATTTAAATGTACTCAGTTAAAAGAGGGTTATTTTTCTTCCCACAGCTCCCTTGGGGCCATGGATAATTAGAGTATCATTCTTTGAGATCTAATATGACTAGGATCCAGCATCAGAGCAGCCATTTTAAGTACTGTTATCCCTGCAAGTGTGTGAATTTTCTCAATTGAATATCTACGATCTTAACCGTGAAGAAATGGTAATGAGGATGAGATTTTAAGTTTGTAACAGCTGAGTTTTACCCAGATGTTGATTCCCGTTGTAGTGGTAGACACAATCATCTTCACGAAGTTGGATATCTCGAATTGCCTGGTTTCCCGTCTGCAACCAAAAGAGAGCAGCTACTTCCGACATAAACCACATCAAAATCATCTGAGAACTTTGCATCTTCACTCAGACAGTCAACATGACCTCCTCCTCGGCTCCACTTTCCTCCTACAATAGTGACAACCCCTACATAGAGAGAAGACTGACTTCAAATTGAAGTCTCTACCTTCAAGCCTCTGACCCTATTAAACCATCTTGGTTTGCTTAAAGAGAGTAGTAGGGGTTGCAGAGAATAAATTCAAATACATACTGAATAGGATGAGAACTTTTATTGCAAGTGTGTCACAAATTCAACCCAGAATATGTTTATCACCTGTTGGTGACTTGCACGATCCGATTAATAGGCAAGTGGCAAGGTTTCCTTGATAGATCTGACCAAATACTTTTGACTTAATGGGTCCTACCCAACATTTATATTTGGATCTATTTTGTCTAGGTTTGCTGTTTTTAGGATCTTTATATTTGAGGGATTATTTCATGGTTCTAGGGTTTTCGGATCTTGAGAGGTTCTGTAACATGGGGTTGTTGAAAAAGAGCTAACTAATTGTAATATCCACATTATAGTGAATTTTTCTCAATTTCTCCTTTGCCATAACAGTTCTATTACTAAGGTTGGGCTGTTTTTAAGCAAAACTCTACTTTACCTGTATCACTGATCTTCCTGATGGCCGTATTTATTTAGAGTGTAAGCAATGTAGATATTTCCTCTGTGATCTACAGTAATCCGTTTTGGGTGATTCATCCTAGCTTCTCTTGGCTTCCCATCCAGAAGCCCCAAACACCCATCAGGTGATCCAGCAATCAGCATGGGCCGGCTATCTGCACACAGCGATAGAGGTTCGAAGTTCTTTGTGGGCTTGCCAAATCTGAGATTAAAAAAACACAATAATTATATGTAAAAGAAGACACGGACAGTGACAGGTTATGATAACAATTTTTTCGATATTACAGAACCAAAAAAAAAAAAAATTAATTAAAAAGTAAAAGTAAAAAATAAATACCAGTTCCTCCATCACCAACAATGACAAGTTTAAAGCTTGGGCAATCTACAGTCTGTTGGTTCGGCAAAGCCTACAAGCACGAAAAACTACAAAATCAGTGGCTCAAATATAAACCCAAAACCTTACAACAGAGGAGTAGCAGGTAAGCAACAATAACAGTATTGCTGCAACAACAGCAACATGAGACCAGCAGCAGCAGCAAGTAAGCAGCTGTAGCAGCACCATGAAGCCATAGCAGCAACAACACTTTGACAGCAACAACTCAAAAGCACAACAGAACAATGGTTAACTGGAGGTAACAGGAGGCAGGTGACAGCATCAACACAACCAATCAATGTCTGGATTTAACCCATCTAGAATAAGCTGGACAACAATCAGATACAACAGCTATATCTAGCCACCTATGATCTCACTTGAGTCAACAACAGCTCAAAGAAGAGAGAAAAGAACAAAGCCACTAAATCACTAGCAGAGCCTCACTAGTAGGGCCTCAGGTTCCTCAACAGTCCACCAAATATAGTAGATCATACACCTCTATGAAAATAAGCATACACACACCACTCTAGCTCAAAGTTATATAACCAAAAAAAAAAATTATGGCGGAATTGCTTCATGTCCGTCAAGAACTCATCAAAACTAAGGCATGGAAAGGATAATAATAAATAAAAACAAAAACACAATCAACCTAGCCACTTCCAACACCTAATCTCAAATACAAGCTCTAATGTTATGGAAGTAAAAAATAGAGTTGCTCATTGAGAATTCCTTGAAAAGTGGTTTGGCTTTCACCCAAAAAGACTCATAGAATTTTTGTTCCTTAGTGTTATATTGAATTTTGATAAGTTTCTTGTTATGCTAGTAATTTTTTTTATTTCATTTTGACAATTCAGTAATTGGCTCACTAGACCAACTATTTTGGAGATTAATCTCACCATCCACTAATAGGGTCTATCAAAATAAAGGCAAATCTCCATATAAAGTGGCCTCAAGAAATTATTGATAGTACCTGTATTGGAGTCCAACTACAAGGGTCTGGATAGAGATCTGAGCCATACCACCACTTCCTTACAAACCCTTGAATAGCATAATACAAGGCCTTCTGCCCCTTTTCCTCCATTAGAGCTGTGAGAATGTCTTCTTCTTCTTGGCTACTGCACAAAATATATGGACCGACGAAAACGAACACGACGAGCAAGAAAACCCTGATGTGAATTTGGGTATTGAAATTCTTCATTGCCAATCCCAAATCAAATGAAAAGAATGAAGAAAAAAAATATATTGAAAGAGAGCAAAATGAACTAAGGGTATTTGTGTATTTATACTTTGGAAAGAGAAGCATTTGGTGGTGGGTGGATGAAAATGAGAATACTATGATAATCTCATTTTAGTATTAGAGGTTATTTGTGTATTTATACTTTCCAAAACGTGGGGGAAATTTGTAATTTTGACAGACCTTGGGTGTATTTGTAATTTACCCAATTATTATTTGGATCACATCTAGGAAAACTAGGAGTATTTGCAAAAGATAGAAGTTTGTAGCTTGATTGGGAAAAAAGATTAATTTCTAAGTATAGTGTTGGTTCTTGATTTAAAATTGGATAAAAAGTTAAGTTTAAGTGAACTATATGATTTTAAGTGTATGTATTGGATTTGGATCTTGATTGATTATGAATTTGGCGAATATTAGCTTCTTGGTGAGATTTTGACATAGTAACTCATACCTTATATTTCCTTGTAATAAGTGTATGTATTGGATTTGGATCTTGATTGATTATGAATTTGGCAAATATTAGCTTCTTGGTGAGATTTTGACATAGTAACTCATACCTTATAATTTCCTTGTAAATTTGTGAGATTTATGTCAAGTTTTTTGGCCGATTGAATTTGAGTTAGTTGACTAAATAGTAAGAATTGGTATTTTGGGTAAAACTTGGAATGTGAAACATTTTCAAAAAGGTTGGATTAAGATTATATGACTTGAGGCATTGTAATGAGAATGAAAAGGTTAACGGAAATTCAAGTGAGGTCTGTTTGATAGTAAAAGGTGCCTGGTGTGACTTTTGAAAAGAAAAAAAATGGAAATGTGCCTGGTGTGGCTTTTGAAAAGGAAAAAAATGGAAATGTTTGTCATCATAAAAGTTTCAAATTGTTTAGACTTACTAATTCTGTGCACTATATGAGTTGAAGTTAAGCCTGTAAACCTGCATGGGGTTGGTATTTTTGTCCATTGGATTAGTAGCGTATAAAGTGGGGTTTGATGTGATGGCTTGAGTAATCAGTCGTTACTAGTGCACAACATTATGAGATTTTGAGTACTTTGTAAAATATATATATATATATATATGCATTTTACCTATATTGATGGTGTGCTAAGGAGGAGGGTAGGCAACTGCTCAACCAATGTATATTTTGTCTTAGGCCATGCCTGTGCTGCCCAAATTTTTTTTTTTTTTTTTAAGAGTTAACAATCATTTCAGGTGGAAGGCCAAGATGATTACTTCTTGGCTTTCGAGAAGCTGGGGATGAGTTTGGAGAATTTTGTCAAACAACACAAAAATTTGTTTTGTAATAGACATCTGATTTCCAGTCTATACCAAAATATTCTTATGTAAGTGGCACAATTATATGTCTTAAATAATTAAATTGTTATTTCATTTCTTTAATGGTTTTTTAACATTTTCTTTTAAATATAGTGATTTAATCCGATTATGTCAACATCCAGAGAGTCTGAAAGTGAAACCCCGATTGAGCTTGACAAACATTTTTGTCTTGCGCAATAGCAATGGCAATTACAATGATCCTCTGCATCTTACAATAGTAGATTTTGATTATGCAAGTAATATATATATATATATATATATTAAACCACAAATAAATTGGTAGTTATTTGTAAGATTATTTTTTAACCGAAACTTGATTTTGAACAGATGGTCTCAACATGAATTGGGTTGGGTTGGCAACGCTAGTTGAGCAAATTAACGAGGCTTGTGGCTATAATTCATATGGAAGTCTAGAAATACAGACATTCTTGAATGGTATCAAGACAGCTTACAAGAAGTAAGCAATATACTCTCAAATACTTTTAACTTTTTGGGTGCTTATTTATGTTTATAATTGCAAAAGTATTTTCTTTGTAGTTTCTTCGACAAGTTGTATAATCACCTCTCTTGTGGACATTGGAAGAGAGAAGATCATTCACATGCGACTTTTGGGAAGTAATAAGTTGCACAGATACTATGATTTACCATGTCAGACAAATTTTTACTAAAGATCCAACAAGGTGGGAAGAGGAATTTCGAAAGGACGATTAGTTATCGAAATTGGAGGACGAAATTAAAGCTGTTGATGTTGCATATAAGATGGGGATCATGCGCAAGAATCAAAGTGGTAGTGGTACGGGGATGTCGAGCACATTGAACATTACCCATACAAAGAAACTAGACAATGCAACAAGAGATTGCTTATGTCTTATACGTCAAAGCTATGCACACATCAATCAGAGGAAGAAGCATCTTCGGGACCCGGTAAAACAAATTTGAATATTCACTTGATGACTTAATATTTCTTGCTTTCTTTGAATGTTTTTAATTGTGCAGGATCTCCAGTGTGAGGAACAATTGCAAATTGTGTTCGAGTATGGTTTCTCATGCCACATATTGGAACTGAGGAACAATGCTATTACAATTGAAGGTACTTTACTTGAAGAACTGATACCACGCTCACCTAAGTTGATGTATAAGAAACACCAACCCCAGACAGTCGATGACAAGGTGATCTTGTAGTGACTTTCACAACACTTGTTTAATCGATGAGATGTGCCAACTTGGCCATAGATTAAGCAATAAATATGTGTATGGTTATTAGGGTGTTTCCACGTCTAGATGGATTAGAAGAATCTTCTTGCTCTTTCATCTAATTAAGGGCAGCACTTAATTATTTTGTCATACATGAAGTCAAATTTGATGAGGTTTTTTTTTTCTTTTTTCTTTTTTCTTTTTTCTTTTTTTTTTGTGAGAAACGATGAGGTAAATTAAGTTCTGCCATTTAAATGCCTTGTTCAAGTTTTGCAATTGTTCTCTATAACAATTTGTAAACTATTTCTTAAAATATGATCCGTGCAGTTTGTGCTGTAACATTAAAACTCCTTTTGGTTAAATTCCAAATTGAAAAAAAATTAGATCTATATTAACATGTGTGAAAAATTGATTTTCTAGTTAAAAGTTAAAATTATTAAAATGACATTTAAGCCTTTAAATTTTATTAACTGCTTCCATTATTTCGTCCTCACTCTGCTCCCCAATTCTTCTCTCCACATCCTTAGAGAAGGGGGTTGGGAGGATGGAAAATGGGGGTTGTCGATGGCACAGGGTTAGGAAAAGGGAAGATGGGTGGGTTCATAGTGTTGGGGGAGAAGAGGACCAGGTTGGGGAGGATGAGGGTGGATGTTGCTGTGATGGGCAGAGGAGGGAAGGCTTACGACAAAGGTGGTGGAAGGGAGGAAATGGTGAGGACAAAATAAACTTTACCCTTCATCAATCTATTCATATTGACCAGGGGTCACAATAATACTAGTTTGGTAAAAGCTAGTGTGCTTAATCAACTATGCCCATTTGCCCTTCTGCAAAGGCAATTTCTGAGAATGGATCATGAAAATTACGCTAGAAAATGGGGGTTGTCAATGGCACAGGGTTAGGAGAAGGGAAGATGGGTGGGTTCATAGTGTTGGGGGAGAAGAGGACCAGGTAGGGGAGGATGAGGGTGGATGTTGCTGTGATGGGCAGAGGAGGGAAGGCTTACGACAAAGGTGGTGGAAGGGAGGAAATGGTGAGGACAAAATAAACTTTACCCTTCATCAATCTATTCATATTGACCAGGGGTCACAATAATACTAGTTTGGTAAAAGCTAGTGTGCTTAATCAACTATGCCCATTTGCCCTTCTGCAAAGGCAATTTCTGAGAATGGATCATGAAAATTACGCTAGAAAATGGGGGTTGTCAATGGCACAGGGTTAGGAGAAGGGAAGATGGGTGGGTTCATAGTGTTGGGGGAGAAGAGGACCAGGTAGGGGAGGATGAGGGTGGATGGTGTTGTGATGGGCAGAGGAGGGAAGGCTTACGACAAAGGTGGTGGAAGGGAGGAAATGGTGAGGACAAAATAAACTTTACCCTTCATCAATCTATTCATATTGACCAGGGGTCACAATAATACTAGTTTGGTAAAAGCTAGTGTGCTTAATCAACTATGCCCATTTGCCCTTCTGCAAAGGCAATTTCTGAGAATGGATCATGAAAATTACGCTAGAAAATGGGGGTTGTCAATGGCACAGGGTTAGGAGAAGGGAAGATGGGTGGGTTCATAGTGTTGGGGGAGAAGAGGACCAGGTAGGGGAGGATGAGGGTGGATGGTGTTGTGATGGGCAGAGGAGGGAAGGCTTACGACAAAGGTGGTGGAAGGGAGGAAATGGTGAGGACAAAATAAACTTTACCCTTCATCAATCTATTCATATTGACCAGGGGTCACAATAATACAAGTTTTGGTGAAAGCTAGTGTGCTTAATCAACTATGCCCATTTGCCCTTCTGCAATGGCAATTTCTGAGAATGGATCATGAAAATTGCGCTAGCTTCGATAATCAATCTAGTGTTTAGATAACGTTGTCCAAAGCGCAAGTAGTTATCAAAAGTGATTATCAACTTAGATGGGTGTGTTGCAAATTGCAGTGAAAGTAATAATAATTAAATTACTTTATGACAATACATACATACACGCCAAGGGACATCATGATTTAGCATTTCGTAGTGTCAAGATGAAAAAAAGAGTATGAAATAGAAGAGAAGGAAAAATCAGTAGGCATTAAGCATACAGTTGCGTGCAGTTTGAAGGTGTGCAAAATTTACACATAAATTAAATTAAAGAAAAAGAACTTGGAAATGAACAAATCGAATCAAAATCAAAATCCCATAGGAGATAGACGACTTTGACCAACCCTAGACTTAAAAAAATCACTTGTTAGGGTTTCAAAAATTAGAAGGAGAGGGAAAGGGGCAGAGTGAGAGCAGCAAACAAGTGAGAGAGAGAGAACTTAACAGAGTCGTAGTCGTCGGTGGTAGTCGCAGTCGCGGTGGCGGGCTTTGTCTTTGTGTTTAGAGTCTTCGTCCTCGGCGGGCTTGAAGGATGGGGGCTTGAATGCAGGGGGCTTCGGAGGGAGGTTTCCTAATTTTCTCTGAATATCGTCCCATTGAGTCAAAGCTCCTTCCACGTCCTTGTACACGAAGTGATAGTTCCCCATTTTTGAGAATCTCTGATCAACTCTCTCTCTCTCTCTCTCTCTCTCCCTCCCTCTCCCTCTCCCTATAGTATCGTATTTTGGGGATTTTTTATTAGGGATTGGGGATTTGAGATCGTGAGAAACAAAGGGGGGAAAGAAAGGAGGGAAATAGAAAGAGCGGGAAAACGAAAAAAAGAAGAAAAGAAGAGGAGAGTTAAGATAGGCGATAGTTTTATTTATTTTTTGTTAATTTTTTTTTTTTTGGTTGAAACTGCAGAAATTTTTTTTTTGTTTTTATTTTTCTTAGTTATTAAGGTTGAAAATTTATTAGTTTCATTTTTATTTTAATGAAATCTTTTTTTTATTTGGTAAAAGTAGAGGTAATATTTTTATGAAAAATATTTTCAATTAAAATAAAGTTAATGAAATTTAGAGAGATAGAGACAGACAGATTAACTTTATTTTAATGAATTTTTTTTTATTTGGTAGAAGTAGGGTAATATTTTAATGAAAAATATTTTCTGTTAAAATAAAGTTAATTTTTTATGGTCAATGGAAAATATTTTTTTGTGGCCCAATTTTTTTTTTTGTTTACTAAAAATCAAGAGCTAATTTTTTGTGGTAGAGGAGAGGGAGCGGCAGGTAGTGGTGAAGGTGGTGTATAAGAGGTGATGGCGAAGGAGATTAGTGGTGAAATTATGGTAGTGGTAGAGGAGATGGAGTGGTGGTGGAGGAGGAGAGGTAATAGTAGTAGTAGTAGCAGTGGTAGTAGTGGCAGTGATGGTGGTAGTAATGGTAGTCGTAGAGGTGGAGTGACAACATTGGTAATAATGGTGGTAGTGGAATGACATTTGTAGTAGTGGTGAATGTGGTAGAGGAGATGGGTGGTGAGAGAGAAATGTGTGAGAGACAGATAGAGACAGAGACAGACTGATGAGCGAGAGAGAGAGACAAAGTGGTCGCTAAAAGTGCATTTTCTTGTAGTGGAGAGCTCAATAAATAGAGAAGATGAGAGGGAGAGAGTGAGCAAGGTGAACACAATGGGAGAGAGACAGACAGACAGACACAGAGAAAAAGTAAGACGACATTGTTTTTTTATTTTTTTTTTGTGACAGAAAAATGATGTTGCATTTATTTAAACTATTTTGTGACTATATATATATGAAAATGTCTCAAAGCCACAATATATATATATATATATATATTACTTTTTTTTTGCAACGGTACCATTATAGTCGCAAAAAACTATTTTTTTTTTTTGCGACAACAAGTTTGGTCGCCAATAAGTTTTTTGGCGACCAAAATTTTGGTCGCCAAAAGATAAAAAATAATTTTTCATTTTCCATTCGGCGACTACATTGTTTTAATAGCCAAAACTCAATATACGGCGACTAAAATATTTTTTGTCGCTAAAAATAAGTTTTTGGTGACCAAACTTTTGGTCGCCAAAACATAAAAAATAATTTTTTATTTTCCATTCTGCGACTAAATAGTTTTAGTAGCCAAAACTCAATATACGGCGACTAAAATATTTTTAGTTGCTGAAAATAAGTTTTTGGCGACCAAAAAAATAATGTTTCATTTTCCATTTGGCGACTAAATAGTTTTAGTAGCCAAAACTCAATATACAGCGACTAAAATATTTTTAGTCGCTAAAAATAAGTTTTTTAGCGACCAAAATTTTGGTCGCCAATTCCACAATCAACTTATTTTTGATCTTGCACGACCAACTTATTTTTTTGTCGCCAAAATGTGACCTTCTGCGACCAAATTTGTAGTTGGTCGCCAAAACCACATCACTTTCTGCGACCAACTCATTTTTTGGTCGCCAACATATGATCTTCTGTGACCAACTCATATTTGGTCGCCAAAAATAATGATCATTCGCGGCTAATTAATATTTGGTCGCCAAAAGGTAACTTTTAGCTACTAACTTTTATATTGGTCGGGAAAAGTGGTCGCTAAAAGTGCAGATTCTTGTAGTGGCTTTACTACCCCCTGTGTTTGGCAAGTTCGAAAAGTACACTTCAAGTTCATTTTGAGTAGTATTCCAAATCTTTTAAGCTTTTGGAATACTTAGGAAAAGATCAAAAATAAAATCATAATTATTGGCTGAGCTAATTTCTTTAATTTTTCCAATTATCAAGCCAAATTTCCCTAATTTCAGCCAATTGTATTCAATATATACATATATATGTTTGTGTGTGTGTGTGTGTGTGTAATAAACAAGGCCGGGAAGCATGTTAAATTCTCTCTCTTCTTTTTTGCCTTCTCCTAAACATGACTTTGCACCAAATTAACTAATCCTGAGCTAGGGCTCAACTTTTCAAGTTTTGTCCAAATCAAAACCATTGATCAATTCAAACATCTAATTCAATAAATTAAAGCCAATGTTCAAGGAACCTAAAAGTCTTGCTATCAATCCAGTGTTTTACTCTATCTGAATGGAAAAATAAAAACTAAAATAAAAAATAAGCGCAACAAAATAGAAACTAAAATAAAAAATAAAAGGCAAACTTTACTTTACCTCCTGTGGTTTTGACCATATGCGGTTTACTCCCTGACATTCGGATATAACCACATAACCCCCTGTAATTGATAGACTAAAACGCGCAGTTAACTTTTTTGTCTAAAATAACAAAATGTGAAAGTCACGCGCCTCTATTGAGAGTGAGCCTGTTTTTATGATGAAACTACCCTTTCTATCTCTTCAAATTTACAAAGGATGCCATTATATATATATATATATATATATATTATGTATGTACAGTGAAGCAGTGCTGTTTCTCGTCATATCCCACAAATCCTTTTCCTCTCACCTAGAAGGAAAAATTGATTCTGATGTAACCCCCTTTTTCTAGAATGGAACAAAATATATTACCACTTTCTCATCACAACTGTAAAGATTCTGTTCCTTGTTCTAGATTTCTAGCGGTGGGTGCATACAACTTCTAAAGGAGGATATGTTCTTGTTTAAGTTCTGATCAAGAAAAGTATTTCAATTCCATTGTTGTGTCCACTTGCCCCCAAGAAATGCTATCCGTTTTCTTCTCTTCTATGTTAGACTTCAGTGATAATTTTCTGATTTGTGGGGATATTTGTTTTGCAGAATGAGGATAGAACCCTCTGGAAACTGGGCACATTGCCACCTGGGCTGATAACTTTCTATAAGCTGACGTATCCACTGGAGCGGAGCTGGCATGTGTTGGGACTAGGTTATGATCCTACCCTTAATAAAACAGAAATAGAGAATGCTGCTGTCATCCATCACAATGGAAACAATAAACCGTGGTTGGATCTGATCTGGCCATCTCCAAATAGTCATACTGGTCTAGATGCACTGTCAAATATTTAATGGTTTTCGAGGCTATTGCTTCTGTTCAGAACTCTACAAGGTTTGAAATGGAGAGAGCGAAGAAGAAGATGAAGATGGAGAGAGAAAGAACTGGTTTCATTTGAAAAAATAAATATATGAGGCACTACAAGAAGTTGGGTCTTGAATGATGAATTTTTTGTCTCCAAAGAACTAATTTCATCACTATAGATATTTGTGAGAATATTTTCCTCACCAGTTTTGTCATTGAATGTTTGTCACTAAAAATCACCGTGAGGAAAAATAATTTCGTCACCAATAAAATTACTTTAGTGACGAAAATTCTTGTCACCAATAAAACAACATTTTATCACAAAAAATTATCATTTTTGTCACCAAATAGTTGTCCAATACTATATATATAACTTTAGTTAACAAATAAATTTGTCACACATATTGATCATTAATGAGGAAATAATTTCGTCACAGTAACATGTAAAGTTGACGAAATTTTTCGTCTCCAAAAGTCAAACATGGGTGACGAAATATATTTTATTACAAAAAAATATATATGTAATGAAATTTTTAGTCACCAAACAACAAAATCAATAAAAACTTTCACAACCCTGTACTAGATGCGTTATACATGCGGGATTGTTGGATTCTTGGTTTGTTCAATTTGGGTCTTGAAGCATAGTAGATTGATGGGAAGCTCTGACATTGACAACTGGATTCGTGAGGCAAAGGACTCGACTATTAGCTTTTGGAATGACCATGTAGAGCGACTGGTATAATTTTTGGAAACTGTTCACATTTTCCATAGTTTCAAGCTCTAAATAATTTGCATTGTTCGATTGCTTATGCTTGGGATCTAGTTTTAAATTTTTGGAATATTTTATATATCAATTCACCTCTATGGGCATTTGGTGGGGATTTGAGAAATAAGATGGGACAATGAAGATATTGTCAATGAATTTTGAAGATAAAAAGTGACTTGTTTTGTAAATCTATTGAATTTGATGTCTCCACATTTTATATAGTAGCAGATTGTCAGAAACCATGTATTCCAATCTCTTAACTAGAATATAGAACAGACTCAATGAGGCATTTGAAGAAGTAATGGTATTTCTGATGTAATTACACGTGTTATGTAATGGCTTATGATTCTTCTTGAAAATTCAGATAGAGGAACAGGTTCAACGTTCTTTGGATGCGTCCAGTTCAGAGTATAACCTGAAGATTGTTGGCAATATATTATTATTATTATATATTTGTAGCACTTCATTGTCCCTCCTCTCCCCCCTTTATTTATGTTTTCTTTCCAAAAAATTTTACACTATGCATTTTTCTAAGTATGGTGGAATAACCAAATGATGTGACTTTTTTCACTCCATTTTTCATCAGCTTCTATCTATAAGAGATGAACTTTTTGAGACACTCGGGAAGAGGCACAAAGTTGTAATGGACCATGAAGAAGTACATTTAAATGCCAAATCCCTACACAGGTTAGTTAAATGTTTGATAATGAATATTGACCATGCATATATGACATGTTTAGATTAGTCATTGGTCATGAGTACATATACAATTTGTCCTGTATATCGTAAACCGTCCCCAGTTTTGTCAATGAAAAAATATTTTTCTAATTTTTTTTTTAAAAAAACACAAGTTTCTATTTACAAAATAAGATTGAGTTGGATTAAGACAATAATGACGTAACATTGAGCTGTCCTAGACCATAGTCTAACAACTAAGTGATTGTTGATGTATTTAAATAAATTTCTTCCTAATTGTTGATGATTCTTAAGTATTTCCTAGGAGGGTGTGTGAATGTATTACTTTGATTAGGTTTCAGACTTTGAATGGGCCTGAATGCTCTATTTATTAGGCATCTAAGTCGTTGTTGATCAATTTATGACTTCATTTGCTCTTTTGTTTCTTTATGCTTAGTATGAAATCTTTTTTTCCCTTTTTCTTTAGTTACTGATAAAAATAAGAAGGTAAATATCAGGCATTTAAATAAATTTCTTTATGTGCTTGATATATTATGGGTTGGTACATATTACCATTGGATTTGGGTTTTTGTTATATGATAATAGGCTCAGCCAATGCCTCTTATTAAATGCAATTTATGCAATTTTGTTAGTTTCTCTACCGTGGTGTTTGCTACGTGCTTTCCACTGTATATGTGATTGGTGAGGATGGCATCTTGAAGGAACTCAAGCTTGCTGGTTTTCAGTACCTTGATGGGCTAGTATGTATAAATTTCAACAGTGTTACTTAACTATGGCCACCACTATGGTGGCTGAAATGGTGCCCTAGAGCCACTGATATTGTAACATAATTGTGGCGGTCAGTTTTTGGAAACACTAGGAGGATGTGGCTTGTATATTGTAAATGGTATGGATGAAGCAACTATGTTATTTATAAATATTGTTTAGTTTTTTCAAGTGGCATACTTTTTAGGGTTGAATTATTAGAGAAAAGGCATATAACATAAGGAAGTAGGCTATAAGGTTCAAGAGTCCATGGAATTAGTAATAGCTTGTGATTGAATTAGATACTAGTGAAAAATTAGAGGAGAAGAAAAAGATTAGCTTAGGGATTATTCCTATACCTCCTTATCTTATGTATTTGCTACTAAGTGCTCAGGTAGAATTACATCACATTGCAACAAAAGAGGTGAATTCATTAGAGGTATGAACAAAAAAGTTTTGCTTTATGTGGATTTTATTTGCATATGCGTTGAAACTATTGAGATTTTGAATTTTTGTTAATTTTTCATTATGACATTACTTTTATGGGACCATTGAATTATCTTATTAATTTTGAAAATGTTTTGTTGATATTTTAAAATTTCTTGATAATTTTTTAAAATATTTTGTCCCTGAGTCTGTTCTTGTACTTTTGTGAAGTTTCCTTTGTCATGTAGATAAGAAATGCAACAAGATTAGTTGCTCCACCTATTGCCGCGGGTTTAGGTGCCTTAACATATACGTTGGGCACTCTCATCTCTGTGATAGGAGCAAGTGGATTTGCTACAGCTGCAGCTACAGCTGCTATAGGAACTGTTGTCAATAGTTTTAGATAATCTCTTAATAGTTGTCGATATGTTTAGAAAGTTAAATATACACAGTTTTGGATTGTTTAAACTTTTTGTACAGTTTAGAACTTAAGGATATAGTTTTTGAATGTTTGGAATGTACAGACAATTATTGAATGTTTATAATTTATGGATATAGTTCCTTTTTGATGTTTCAAATAATATTTTCATCGTTGATTGATGTTTTGTGATGCTTGTTTGTAATATTTGTTAGATTGTACAAAATTGGTCAAATAGAGCCTGCGGAATTTGAAAAAAAAAAAAAAATTGCATATTCTACGACAGGCATAATAAGTCGTTGTATTACATATTTTACGGCGTGCAAAAGTAGTCGTAAAAAAAGTAATAACAACGCATAAAATTTGCCGTTAAATAGTTTTTAACGGTGTACTATAACATGTCGTAGAAAAAGTAACAACGATGCACAAAATCTGCCGTTAAATAGTTTTTTACGGTGTACAAAGCATGTTGTTGAAAGTGAATGCATTTCCATGACTGGTCATAATATGACGCGCGTTGCACGTTGTAGAAGGGTTTTTACGACGTGCATTGTACGCTGTAAAAACCCTTTTTTGTTGTAGTGAGAGAGAGAGAGAGAGAGAGAGAGAGAGAACTCATTTTCATGAGAAAAAGTAAATTCAGAGCATATGCAAAACCATTTAAATTTGACATCAACTATGGAAGCTTCAGGAATAGAGTTTCATATGTAAAACCTATCACTCATTTTGTTTTCTTTTCCTCCATTTCTCAATAACCAAACAAAATACTTGAACTAAAAAGAAACAAAATCATGCTAATAAATAACCATCCAATTCAGAAAATACAAAACTTACAGAGGGTGAGAGAGCGAAGCAGCAGACAAGTGACCATGCGCTGGAATCAATGCCAATGGAGGAGAATGTGAGAGAGTGAAGTATAAGAGAAGTGAAGTGATCCGTTGGGAATCCTTCTCTTTCCTGCTGCAAGCTTGTATGTTCCTCTAGGGTTTGTGCTTCTTCATTTTTCTTTTTCTTTCCATTTTTTTTTACTAGAAAAAATTAAATTTAAAATTTTATATAAATAGGTGGGGAATCAGTTTTAAATATATTTTTTTCTTTTTTTTTTTCTAGGGAATTAGTTTTAATTGAAAGTTAGTTTTTGGAAAATTTGCAAAAAAATAAATAGAAACTTGTATAAATAAGGAAATTTATTTGTTAGGGTCCTTGGTATTAAGATTTTTATAATATAAAGGACATTCAATATTTTTATAATGTTTAAGGTCCCTCAACATTGATTCAGAGAAAATTCGATCCAGAGAATTTCTCTGGACTTCTCAGATAAATTCTGGAAAGTTCATAATGTCTAAAGTCCTTCAATATTGATTTAGATAAAATTTAATCTAGAGAATTTCTCTGCACTTTTCAGAGAATTTCTCTCCAAAGAAATTCTTTCCTGAGTTCTCACTAAAAATGTGAGAGAAACCTTAGACTAATCTTCTCTTTAAATAATAAGCAATATTTTAGGACTCCAAAGAATTTATTAAAAAAATTATCAAATACTTGGTGTGAGACCCACACACCCACTCTTATAAGGGGTTGATAAATTTTTGGATAAATTACACTTACACCCCTGAGATTTGGATTTAATATACATTACCCCCTGACGTTTAAAAAATTACACTAACCTCTCTGTCATTGTAATTATTTAGATAAAATGAAGATATTGAACTCATGCACTATCTTTTTTTACTTTGCATTACTTTCTTCTTTTTTTTTTGTCCAATATATTTTTCTCTGTTTTTCTACTAGGAGTTGTTACCTTTTATATGAGCAGTGTGATTTATAAAATGAGACTATTAACCGTAGGGATAATGTAAAGCATAATTTACATTAAATGTTTTGATAAAACATTTGAAATATTTACCGTTATTGATAAATAATTACTACAAAATATAAAGAATCACAAATAATTGAACTATTAATGGTAAGAGTGTTTTTTGGGTAGGAGTGTAAATTTGGCCCGACCTGGCCTATGTTAGGCCGCGGGGGTTCTTATCAAAATTCAGGCCGCCCTAGCCCACGGGCCAGAAAATTAGGTCCCGACCCAGGAGGTTTTTGGGCCTTGGACAGGCCTGAACATTTTATTTTGTTTTTTTTCACTAAAATTTTATTCTTTTCCACAAAAAATGACACTAGGCCTCGGATGAGCTAGGCTTTGAATAAGCTGATGGCCCTGGCCATGCATTGGGCTCACGGGTCAGGTCGGGCCCAAAACACACGACCTAGGCACAGGCATAGGATCCCGGGCTGGGCTCAGGCTCGAGCCTAGTCAGGCGGCCCACGGGCCATTTATACACCCTTAGATAAATGGTAAGAGTGTTGCTATTACTATTAGCTCTTTTTTTTCAGACTCCTACTTACAAAATTCAAAATCTTAAATTTTTTTAAAACCCTCCAAATAATATCAAAAGTATCTTTATAAAAATATCAAACTCACCAAAGTATACACTCTTTTTTTTATAGGTGAAAGTCAATTGTTAGTTGTTAAATTATCATATATGGGAGTTAGCCTCCCCATCTTTTGTAAAACACCAATTGTTTTGAAGTGTATGGGTAGTGATGGAGGTGAGTATTCTCTAAACATTATGATATGATTTAGTTGGTGAGTGAGTTTAATTGTGAGATAAAATGTCTCAAGATAATTAATATCTTTTCTAATAATTTCATTTGAGTTATTATTATAATAAAAAATAAAAGAAATGAGAGTCTAAAATATTTATTGGGATACTAATAGCAACACTCTACGGTCATGTTTGTTTGGCTCTTTGGGAAGGGAGATTGGACTAATAGTCCGTGAGATCCACCTAAAGAGTGTTTGGTTGAGAACATGAGTGAGAGGATTAACAATCCCCTTGGACTAGTGATTCTCTGTGGTAGAACTAACAAAGCCATGAGAGGATTGAGATTAGAAATTGAGTGAGGTGATTAGTGAAAATTTAAAAGATTTTTAAGCAAAAATTATAGTTTTTAGAATTTTTTATAATATTAAAAATAATTATAATATTAAAAAATACTAAAACTTAAAAAATATAATTTTATATATTAATGCTAGCTATAGTATTACAAATCCGATAGTTTACAAACAAACACTTTTTATCCCACATCTCTAACCTAATCACTTCTTTACTTTTTACATATTTTTTAATAATAAGCTAAAAAATCAACTTATAAGTCACTTTCTAAAACAATTTATCCCACATATACTAATAGCAATGTGAGATGATATCAAACATTATGATTAATTGAATGGATTGAAAAAGAAAAAGAAAAAAATGCTATTTCAGTTAACGAGATAAATATTTTCTTACTCATGCCACATGAATTATTCACGATTTTGCTCTTGCTCAGTGAAAATATACTATTATCATCCCACATCTCCAAACTTTATTTTTTAAACTCTATTCTAGACTCACATTGATAATCTAAATAATTTATCTCGTAATTCTAATAATTTAGATGAGTTATGTAAAAAATTAGTTATATCGGACATCACTAGATATATGAATAAATTGCATCTTGTGTTTTTAAAATGGACAGTAATAGTAAGTTTAAACTTAAACATTTCATTCTATAAAATAAAAAGTGATTTGTTTATGTATTTATTGATATCCGATAAAGTTCATTTTTGCACAGATAGTTTTCATTGTGAGATTTACAAGATGAACGATCTAGATTATCATTGTAGGCCTAGAATAGAGCGCAAAAAATAAAGTATGAAAAAAAATGAAAGATAAGTATAGCGGTCCCGATATTTCCTGTTGTTGTTTAACTATCTGATTAATCAAAACAAATAAATTTTCTTGATTAATCAAAAATTAAGATGATCTAAACTTTCAAATGCATGTGGGTCCTACTTAAATTATGGATCTTAACCCATTTTAAATTATGGGTCACACCAAAACAAAAGTGAACCTATTTTAACAATTGGGTCAACGCAAAAGTGTGGGGCCCATGAAGATATTTTGTCAAAAATTGGTGGAATAATTCAAATTGAAATTCAAATTTCAATGCAAATCATTTCTATAAAGTAATAAATAAATTGCTATTTTTCTTGGAAATTAGAGTCAATTTTAGAGTATTCAAAATTAACCCTTCCCTCCTAAGCGTATAAATGGATGCTCTCATTATGAGGAAAGAGAGACACATTTTTTTTTTTTTTTTGGCTAATAGTCTTGCAAGCTCCTAAGCAATCTCAAGACTGCCAAATTATCTTCTTAAAAGTTTCTCTAAAGTTCCTCAAACTTAAAAGAGAGGATTATCAAACACTCCAAACTTATGTCAATCCTTTCAAGTTACAAATATAAATTTGGTCTCTTCTTTCAAAAAGATCAATTCAAGACTCGTTCGAGATCAAGCCCTTCAAGCCCGAGATCAAGTCACTTTTCTCTAAGTTTCTCCTTTATAAGTTTCTCTCGGTGCTTTCAATTCAATTAAATTGATTTATTTATAATTTTAATGATTATATGTGTAAGTAAATTTTTTTGTGACTACAAATAAATAAAAAAGTTGTTGTGACTTATCGTTTTATCCATGAATTTTCTTTTTCAATGTAAGAGGGGGCCCCATTTTCCGAAGTTTGCCTTAGGCCCCCCTAAATCTCAGGGCCGGTCCTGTCCCCCTGTCCCAAACAAAAGCAATTAATACGCTCAAATTCAAATTCATAAGTGTTGTTTCCCATCATTGCCCTTTTATTTCTTACTTTAAATATATTCTTTGGCAAAATAAAACTTTTATGCATTGACTTTTCAAAGTGGACCTGTGTATTGTGTGGTTAGGACATCCAAAAATGAAATTATGGACTAACAAAGTGACTAGTATTTATTAATAGTAATTATTAATGACAATTGTTAAAATTGTAACTAATATTGATTTTAGATTGAAATCCTGTTTTCTATAGTCGGTGTAATCGTTGCCCTTTTATTTCTTACTTTAAATATATTCTTTGGCAAAATAAAACTTTTATGCATTGGCTTTTCAAAGTGGACCTGTGTATTGTGTGGTTAGGACATCCAAAAATGAAATTATGGACTAACAAAGTGACTAGTATTTATTAATAGTAATTATTAATGACAATTGTTAAAATTGTAACTAATATTGATTTTAGATTGAAATCCTGTTTTC